CCACCTTTCCAGCCCCCATGAGATTCTTATCTTCAATTAACCACCAGAAAGTCAGAAGTGGACCTGTGACTCAAGGGCTAGAGCACTAGCCTTCAGCACAAAAGCTCTGGGACATAACCTAGGCCCTGACTTCATGCCCCTTGACTGGCACAAAAAGAAAGTGGAAATTAGGGCAGGGAGAGATGGCACAATGGTAATCTTAACATTAGTGAGGTCCTAAGTTTGATCCCCAGTACCTCCCAAAATGAGGAAATGGGTTGAGCCTAGCTACTCTGGAGATTGAGAGGCAGAGCCCTGAGAATCTTGGTTAGAAGCCAGCTGAGGCAGGAAAATTTGGGAGACTTAGCTCCAATTAACTGGCAAAATGCAGGAAGTGGGGGTATAGTTCACGTAGTAGAGCACCAGCCTTGAGCAGAAAAGCTAAGGAAGGGAGAATGCAAGGCCCTAAGTTCAAGCTCTAGTACCAATAGAAAAAGATAAATAAAAATAATAAGCCATGGGCTGGGAAGGTGGCTCAGTGGTGGAGTGCTTGCCTTGCATGCATGAGGCCCTGGGTTCAATTCCTCAGCACCACATAAGCAAAAAGAAAAAAGCCAGAAGTGACACTGTGGCTCAAGGGGTAGAGTGCTAGCCTTGAGTTGAAGAGCTGAGGGACAGAGCCCAGGCCCAGAGTTCAGCCCCACGACCGGACCCAAAATAATAATAATAATAATAAGCCAGTCGTATGTGGTTCAAGTGCCTTCTTAACAAGCTCTATGCCCTGAGTTCCAATCTAAGTACTATTTTTTTTTTTTTTTGGGTCCGGTCGTGGGACCTGAACTCTGGGCTTGGGCGCTGTCCCTCAGCTCTTCAGCTCAAGGCGAGCGCTCTACCACTTGAGCTACAGTGCCACTTCCGGTTTTCTGGTGGTTTATTGGAGATAGGAGTCTCACGGTCTCTCCTGCCCAGGCTGGCTTTGAACCGCGATCCTCAGATCTCAGCCTCCTGAGTAGCTAGGATTACAGGCGTGAGCCACCAGTGCCTGGCTTTTTTTTTTTTATGTAGTGCTGAGGAATCGAACTCAGGGCCTCAAGCATGCAAGGCAAGCGCTCCACTACTGAGCCACCTTCCCAGCCCGACTCTAAGTACTATTAAAACAGAAATAAGGGGGCTGGAAAGGTAGCTCAGTGGTAGAGTGCTTGCCTTGCATGCATAAGGGCCTGGGTTCGATTCCTCAGCACCACATAAGAAAAAGCAGGAAGTGGCGCTGTGGCTCTGGTGGTAGAGCTCTAGTCTTGAGCTGAAGAGCTGAGGGACAGTGCCCAGGCCCAGAGTTCAGGCCCCACAACCGACCAAAAAAAAAAAAAAACCCACCAAAAAAACAGAAATAAGGGAAATTGTGATATATGCTACAATATGGATGACTTTTTTGTTTTGGTCTCAGCCTCTTGAGTAGCTAGAATTACAACATGAGCCACTCGTGCCTGTTGCGTGGATTACTCTTGAGGACATGTTAAGTGAAATAAGCCAGTCATAGAATGAACAAATACTATATTATTCACACTTATATGAATTTTCTACCAAAGGCAATCAAACACAGAAATGCACAGAAGAGTGGTTGAAAGGAACAGAAAGGAACTCTCTGTTGATATATAATCATTCAAGAGAATGATTATATATCATAAACAAGTCATCTTGTTTATCTTGCACCTTATTGCAGAACTACATTGTCAACTAGTCTTTTAACTCTGTGCTGCCAATGAAACAGAATTCTAAACATCATCACTTCTATTTCATTTGTCCACACTGAAGAGCTAGCTATTGCGTTTCACTCAAGAACCTATCTGCTAGCCGGGTGCTGGTGGCTCACCCCTGTAATCCTAGCTACTCAGGAGGTTGAGATCTGAGGATCACGGTTCAAAGCCAGCCCAGGCAGGAAAGACCGTGAGACTCCTATCTCCAATAAACCACCAGAAAACCGGAAGTGGCACTGTAGCTCAAGTGGTAGAGCGCTCGCCTTGAGCTGAAGAGCTGAGGGACAGCGCCCAGGCCCAGAGTTCAAGCCCCACAACCGACAAAAAAAAAAAGAACCTATCTGCTTTACAAACATAACCATGAATTCTAAGGATGATATTTATGTAATGCCCATTGAGGTCTCAGACATAAATCAAATTAAGCAATGCACTTAACACAAACCACATTCTGACCAAATCAGACAAAAAAATTCTGACTTAGCAAATAGGAATACAAACACTTCTGGCATTCCCTTTTCAGTCACCCACCCCTGAAAGGTGACTTTAGACAGTGAAAGAATTCTACTCATATCTGTAATTCTACGTACTCAGAAGGCTGAGATTTGAGCACCAGGGTTGTAAACCAGCCCAAAGAGAAAGGGCCATTGGACTCATCTCCAATTAACCACCAAAAGCCGGAAGTGTTCAAGGGGCAGCCTTGAGAGAAAATGCTGAGGGACACTGCCCAAGCCTTGAGTTCAAGTCCCAGTGCTGGCATGTGCTCATATGCAAGCACACACACACACTCACACACACAAGCTCTAGGTTTGAATTTAGGCTTCAAGAAAACTGTGCTCTAAGTTTTTTTTTTTAAATGTCTTTATCTTGGGGCTGGGAAGGTGGCTCAGTGATAGAGCACTTGCCTTGCATGCATGAGGCCCTGGGTTCGATTCCTCAGCACCATATAAGCAAAAAGAAAAAAGCAGGAAGTGGTGCTGTGGGTCCAAGTGGTAGAGCGCTAGCCTTGAGCTGAAGAGCTGAGGGACAGAGCCCAGGCCCAGAGTTCAGGCCCACCACCGGACCAAAAATTAAAAAAAAAAAAGTTAAAATAAAATGTCTTTATCTTCATGTCTACAAACATTTGAAATGTATGTTTGCCACAGTCCTCAACATATTGTTTCCTTTCTTAGTACTAAAAGGGGCTGTGGTTTGCAATAAAGAAAAGCCAAAGCGAAGAATCATCGCAGAAGAAAAACCTAAAAAGACTCATCAATACAATACAGTGGGGCCAGTTGGCATGCAACTGTAATTGCAAAATTTAGGAGTCAGAAGACTGAAGGATTGTGAGCTTGAGACTACATAAGCAGAGACCCAGTCTCAAAATTACCACAAACTGGCACCAGTGGCTCCTGCCTGTAATCCTAGATACTAAGGAAGCTGAGGTCTGAGGAGTGGGGTTCAAAACCTGGGCAGGAAGATCCTTGAGACTCATCTCCACCCACCCACCCACACACACACCCACACAGAGCCAGAAGTGGAGCTGTGGCGCAAGTGGGTAGAGCACCAGTCTTGAGCAGGGGGAAAAAACAAGTTCAGGGACAGCACCAAGGACTTGAGTTCAAGTCCCAGGATTGGCGCATGCGCATACACATACACACGCAACCCATAAAGCAGGGCACGAGTGACTCCGGTAAATAAATCACGTACTCCTTAACTAGGGAATTCCCTCCCAAATTACCTTTGAAATATCCTCCCGGTCTCCATACAATTCTCTACTGTAGGAGCGGTCACTCGTACGGCTTGCACATCCCTGGCCAACTGAGGAGAGTTGAATTCTAGAGAGAATTCTAGAACACCCGTCCAAACCCCTCCTCAGGAGCCAGGCTGGCCCACTCAGGAGTCAATTACTTGCGTACTTTTGCGGCCACTTCTCCAGCCAGGCAGGGTCGAGGAGAACTAACGGTCTCAGCAGCCTCCACGCTCCAGGTGGGACTCGCGGGAAGGTGGGACTCGCGGGGAAGGCGTGGGGGTCCGGGTGCGGGAGACTGTGCGCCGCCGGGCGCCTACTGAGGGGCGGCGTGGGGGGGGGGGGGGGGGGGGGGGTGAGCCGGACCCACAATTCCTTGCGAGGGCGGGAAAGCGCGGGAAAGGTGAGGGGCTTGCGTGCAAGTCCCCGGGGGACCGCGAGCCTGCTGGGATCCCCAGGGAAATCTGGAAACCACAGATTCGTTACTGGGTTGTTCGTTGTGTTTTGGTGTCGGTCCTGAGGCTTGAACTCAAGGCTCCCTGTGTGCTGTCTTTATGTTTCTTCCCCCCCCCTTGCCCCCCCCAAGACTGGCTGCTCTAGCACTTGTGCCACGGATCTACTTTTGGCTTTCTGGAGGTTCTTCGGAGATTAAAGAGTCTTTGCTGACCTGCCTGGCTTAGAACTGTGATCCTTAGGTTTCAGCCTCCAGAGAGGACAGGCGTGAGCCACAAGCGCAATAGGATCTCTTTGTTGATCCCGCTACCCGCACTCAGTGGAGATTTCTCTGAAGCACTCAACACTCTTCCACCCCACAGGCTATGGCAAAGGTGAGGAAATGTGGCCTTTCAGGCCCACTGGGCCCAGCTCTCCATCTTAGAGTCTCCACCCATCTTTATCTCCACCCATCCTTTATCCTCCATCCTTGGATGGAGAAGTCTTTTTTTTCTTCTTTTTTTGGCCAGTCACGGGGTCTGAACTCTGGGCCTGGGCGCTGTCCCTCAGCTCTTCAGCTCAAGGCTAGCACTCTACCACTTGAGCCACAGCACCACTTCTGGCTTTTTTCTTTTTGCGTATGTGGTGCTGAGGAATCGAACCCAGGGCTTCATGCATGCAAGGCAAGCACTCTACAACTGAGCCACCTTCCCAGCCCCTTGGAAAAATCTGTTAATTTGTTTTAACTTTATTAAAGCAAAATTGACATACAAGAAATACAAGAAGGTGCACCCATTTAAAATACGATTCATGAGGTTTTTTTGCGGGGGGGGGTCAGCTGTGGGGCTTGAACTCAGGGCTTGGGTGCTGTTGCTTAGCTCTTTGGCTCAAGGCTAGTGCTTAACCATTTTGAGCCCACAGCTCCACTTGGATGAATCAATCTTTAAAGCGATTTGTACGAATCCCAAAGGCGGCTAGGCGTGAAAAACTACAGGGCTCGCGCACGTGCAGCGCAATCCGAAAGCCTCGTGCCACCAGGCGGCGTGCCCCGCCCCCTCGCCTTTACGTCTGACGTCACACGGCGTAACGCGGCGCCCGGCGTGCGTGGTTTTGCCGCTCCAGTCCTGTGCGTCCGCGCATAGCCAAGGCGCCGGGATTTAAAATGCAGCGGGATTTAGTGAGTTTCCCGCTGTCGCCAGCGGTGCGGGTGAAGCTGGTTTCTGCAGGTTTCCAGACTGCCGAGGAAGTCCTAGAGGTGAAGCCCTCCGAACTGAGCAAAGGTAACTGACTCCGGCTGGCCAGCTGAGGCACACCGGCCGCCTTTGGTGCCGCCGCGGGCCTGAAAGGGCGGCTCCCCACCGCCGTATTTGCAATGCAAAACAGCTACTTGACTCCACTTAAAAGTTGGTTGGACGGTTTGGAGAATGGCAGTTGTGAATATTTGACTAGTTGCTTTCTCTGTGCCAGTGCCTGCTTAGAGAGATTATCTCAAAAAAGACCTGTTTCTTTCTTTTAACAATTTATTTTGTTATTATAAAAGTGATGCACAGAAAGGCTAGTTTGATAAGTTAGGTAAGGAATACATTTTTTTTTGCCAGTCCTGGGACTTGAACTCAGGCCCTGGGCACTGTCCCTGAGCTGCTTTTGCTCAAGGCTAGCATTTAAGCCATAGCACCACTTCTGGCCTTTTCTGTGTATGTGGTACTGAGGAATCAAACCCAGGGCTTCATATTTGCTAAGAAAGCACTCTACCACTAAGCTACATTTCCAGCCCTGAATACATTTCTTTTTACACAGTATCACCCCTTCTCTCTCCCTGTTTTTCCCTTAGTCCTGTTTCTTGGGTTATTGTATCAAGCATATAAATGAGAGAAATAATCTATTGTTGGTTGTTGGTTGTCGGATTTGAACTCTGGGCCTGGGCACTGTCTCTAAACTCTTGCTCAAGGCTAGCTCTCTACCACTTGGAGCCACAGTACCACTTCTGGTCCTTTTGATAAGAAACGGACTTTTCTCCCAGGTTGGCTTCCAACCGTGATCCTCAGATCTCAGCCTCCTGAGTAGCTAGGATTACAAGCATGAGCTACAAGTGCTAGAACATCACCACCACCTTCTTCTTTTCCTTCTCCT